TGTTAAATAAACTTTACATTGTATTGCACAGCTATGAGGAGGCGCGATAGCTCAGTCGGTAGAGCAGTGGTCTCGTAATCCGGTGACCCGGGTTCGAAGCCAAGGCGATGCGCTAGCCCCCTTTGGTAAAATATTAATCCTCATTACCATGTCCCTCGGAGAGGACCTAAAGCCGTCGGCTGCACGGTTGCTTACTTACAAGCATTTATGCTTTCTTAGCAGTCAGGTAAAATAACCACCACCACCACTATCTTAAATACAATACATAGGTTACAATAATTAATGTATTGTTATGATATTATAACCAAACAAATAGATTGTCTCATGAAGTTCCTTTTAAATTCATAAAAACTATCAAATTAGTTATTACCTACAAGACTGTCACTTATTTAAATTACAATGAAATGGAGAAGAAAACATAACTGCGCAAATGAATTGCCCAAACCAAGAAAACTCCCCTCTATGAAAACCCAAGTCGCACAACAGACCCAACTAACATCAGAGGAAGTGGTCAGAAATAAATTACTAAAGAGGTCAGCACATTGACGCCCAGAAGAAAATCAGCAGCGGAATAGAACATTTCGAAGCAGAAAGAGAAAGATATAGACTTACTTTTGAGCTCCGTTTGCCCTAGTTGTCATCTGGTCTCCTATAGTAAGACATAATAATAATAAACCACTGCTTCACGTCGGTGTTTTATTCTTCCTTACACAGTAAAAACGCTGTTTAAAAAAGTGATGTTCACTTACAGTTGTACACTATCTTAAACAACAGTTGAACAAATTGTAAACAACGTTGCTCGAAACGAAAGTAGTTTTGTTAAACATTCGATGTTTAAAATTTAATGACTGCTATATTTACTATACGAGAGCTTTTAGACAGTGTTGTTTACATATGACGTCATGTGTCTCGTGCCAGTAAAGCTTTATTTCACATTGATATGTTTAGAAACAGGTTCCTTGAAACTAACATGCAATTGAAATTAACATGCCACTTAGAAATGCAGTGCAGCTGTTTAGGCACAGCTCATTGTTATTCATATTAGATGCATACACACAATGCAAGTGTATGCAAGGGTCTTCTGTTGACTACACAGATTGATACATAAAAGCACATGGATATTGAGTCTGGATTAAACTACCAAAGCAACCACACGTGTTTCTGCAGGCTCCATTTTGTTTGTCTCTATACTTACATTTATTTAGCTTAATAGTTATTACTTTCCAACCCACAACACAACACACATCATGGCCGACCAAGCTACCGACGCGCTTCTAAGTGACTGCAGGGGTTCAATGGCTTAATTGAAATCACTTTTCTATTAACCAATTTGAAGTTTTTAACTTATATCGTAAGTTCACATTTAAACTTTTCAGTATCTGTACGCAAATGTCAGAATATAGGTAGACTTAAAATCGTCGCGTCATGCAGTGCGGCACTGATCGCGCACTCGGTTATATAACGTGTGCTTAATTCCTTGCCATAGAGATTGCATGCATCCCTGTATATGCAGTTTATACGTGCGTGCATGCGCGCTCATGCAAAATGGGCACTGTTTTGGCGCTAATTCATGAATTGCAGAATTACCCTACCATATTGTTAGTCTTCATATACCTATAATATAGAGACCCAGAAGTAGTGGTGCACTTATTCAGAGTATCAAACTCAAATTATACCCCATTATACAACCCTTTTGGTGTAAACAACCCCCACTGAACAACAGCTCCTTTTTAAACAACTTTCTTTAAACAACCCAGTTGGTGTAAACAACCCCCACTGAACAACAGCTCCGTTTTAAACAACTTTCTTTAAACAACCCAGTTGGTGTAAACAACCCCCACCGAACAACAGCTCCTTTTTAAACAACTTTCTTTAAACAACCCAGTTGGTGTAAACAACCCCCACTGAACAACAGCTCCTTTTTAAACAACTTTCTTTAAACAACCCAGTTGGTGTAAACAACCCCCACTGAACAACAGCTCTGTTTTAAACAACCGTCTTTAAACAACACCAGTTGTTTAAATTGTGATTTTAAACAAGTTGTTCAAAATGTTGATCAACTAAGTGTTTAAACTTTAAACAACTCGAGTTGCTTAACATTTTAAACAACTCTTAGATCAGGTCACCCGTTAATCAAGAGTTGTTTAAACTTTTAAACAACTTGTTCACAAAAATTTTAACTGTGTAGTATTAATTTTATATTAGAAACTGAATTCCATTAATATTTCCAACTGTACAATTTTCCTCACACTGTTTTTTCGACACTATGATAATCTGTTGACATTTTATAATTTCTTGTAATTTTCTTCGATTAATAGAACATAGTCTACAGATAAAACAAAATATGATGTCAGAGAGAGATATTGGTCAAAAAAACGAATCAGATTGGCGTCACCATGCGTTTGGTAAAGACACTTTTACCAAAAGAGAGCTTGGCCGAGATAAGTAATTTCATTGTTTATTCTTAAAACCTAATCAATCTGTCTGGCAGAAAATAGAACACCAAATTATGATTTCGCTAGATCAATGTCTTGTGGCATCAATGTTTTCTTTTCTCTTTTTTTCTTTTCTTTTTCAAACCATATTCCTGCCGTACAGACGTTTGAAACAGGTTATCAGCTTAACATTTATACTACTGAATGTTGTCGTTCTTTTTTTCCCTCTTCCTCCTGTTTCGTCCTTTCTTCGTTATGACGCTGGAAGCTAAGCTAGGGGTCTACACATATATGTTTTCAAGCGGTGAACACTTACCTGACAGATTCATAGGACAAATAATTTCCATCTTTGCGCTTTGTTCCAAGATGAACTGAACGAAGACTTTAGATTGGTCAGCGGCTGGAGTGTTAACGACGAACCGTACATTGACCTCAACTGATTTATGAAACAGAGTTTCCTGTTGTGTCTGTTAAGAAAGACATAGGATAACAATTTTAGATACACATTAAATGTACCCGTCATGTCAATTAACTAGATTGTATGTCCCAACGATTTGCCTAATATAAGATCATCTTTTCCTCTGCAAGGTTACAGTTTAATGGTGTTACATGTGTCTCCATTAGACCCCGTAGGTATCATCCTATATACATAAAGTGTTTTTGATCCCCTGTTAGAATGGTGGAGTAATAAAACGCACACACACACATCTCTCGCGCAACAAAACACGCACACACACTATCGTCGAGCGATGCTAAATAAACAATATTATTATTATCATTATTCTATTGATACGCTATATCAAATTGATACACCTTTAGTATGAAATGTTGCATATATTTGACAGAATACATGAACATTCATATAATATAATCGAGTAACTTTAATTGTAATGTAAATTTTTCATTCAACTGTTACGGTTAGAAAAATGGCATAACTACTTGTTTTCCCTCTCAAGTATACCCCCATCACAGTATTGAGAGAGGTGGGTGTGCTCCAAATAAGTTCCCTTCTATATAGAGATTGTGTGTGGGAGGGAACTAGTTACAGCTCCATGATTTAACATTTGATCGCGTACGTGTCCGCGTGTCACAACTATGTCTCTCAATACGCTATGGAACTATCATACAGACCGACATCACACCAACCAAACAAACACATTGCTCTGAATAGCCAACAAATCGATCAGTGAATTTTGAGTTGGTTTGTCGTTGTAACTAAAGCATTGATATAAACTTGCCTTGGTGTATGTTTCCTTGTCGTCTACCTGGCAGGTTACTTTAAGATCGCCAGAACGCCATGCCACAAAATACTCTTCTCCCTTTATCGGTGTCACGTATCCGGGTTCCGACTGATTTGTTATGATATGAAAAGAATATACATGTACAATGAAAAGAAAGTAACCCCAAAATTTGTAATGCTATAAACTCTTATACAATAATATACAGTTTACATTTTAAATGAGCAAGAAAACCATATGCCATTAAATTGAAAACAAAAATTAAAACAACAACATTAAGAACGGAAGAATGACTAACGTTTAAACACTTTGTCATTTTTCATCTTAAGTTTTATCCGGAGGTGGATGTCCAGGGGGTAGGTGTCCGGATCCGATGAAATAGATCAGTCAATAAGGACTCATGTTTGCAATAGGTCGTTTTCATAAATGAAATCAAATATAATACATAAGTCTTTGTGAAATTCCTCAATACACATTGATTCATTCACCCGATAAGAATAATAGTATTTCAATAGTCAGAATGCAAACTGCACATATGAAGTGTTGCTAGGTATCGCAAGCCATCATGTTTGTCCAACCTGGCAACAACTAATGTATGCAGTTTGTATTATGTCTATTGAAACACTATTATTCTTATCAGGTGAATGAGATTTGTATCGATGCAAAATTGCCTGTGGCAAACGTTCCGTATTGTAGGACAAGGCAGGAAAAGCTTTGATGTTTGTCCTTTCATCAAGTAATGTATGACATTTATATTCTGAATTTGAACTAAATCATTCCTAACAGGTGAATTCGATCACTTAAAGTGTGCGCATAACACTCCATTACAATATGAAGATGGTCTATTTGCCCTGCTGCAGCACACGTTGCTTGTCATTTTGTGGTGAAATTCATACGCAGGCTCTGTTGTTCTGAACCAGTAACCTGGACGAAAAGCGAATATGACATTAGTACTTTACTAGTCTTTAAACAAATTGGCCCGAATACACAAAGGAGGTTTGCCGACAAACCTAGGTTTATGTGCGTAATATGACGCGTTTTTACAGACCAAGGTTTGTAAAAACGCGTTGAAACGCGTCATATGACGCACATAAACCTAGGTTTGTCGACAAACCTCCTTGGTAAATTCCTGCCATTTTGTCACAATACCCCTCCCCGTTCATACCTCCGCTTTCCCTTGGTTACTGTCTCTAATGCAGAGCCTCAACAGATGCTTAGTGTTCATATGGCTCGGTTCGGGTACGAAAGGCGTACAGATGACACGTTTGCCCACGAATACCTTTGTGATGAAGGCAACAATCCACCATTCAGAGAAGTGAGAAATATAGAGGTGAAGGTCTCGCTCTCTAACAACACATCGAGGGTCACCATTGGCAGCGGAAATCAACGAAAAACTGTCGGAGCCTTTTAATTGAAAACACAAGACAGATGTGTAATCGCAATTTGTTCTTGTTTGCAAAATCGAAAACAAAGCAAAGCAAAAAAATATTTAAAAAATACAAATTTCAGAGAACGCAGAAGCGACGGAGGAGGTGAGTACCCCAGCTTTTTACCACCGATTATACGATAGATCACCCCAATGTATACCTCTTTAAAAGAAAAAAAACGTAGTTATGTTTGAAGCAGAGAGAAATTTCCTCAAGACGGTATCTCACAAAAAGAATTAAAAACAAATCCCTTTATCGAAATGTATGATCTTGGATTGGTGTCATTTTGCTTGGGATAGAATGATCTACCCAATTTACAAAAACAAATGACATTGTGTCAACTTGACGTTGAAATTACAGACTTTGTTGAATACTTTTAGATGTATTAACGTTTGAATATGTCCCATTCTCTAGAAACATGAAATTCAGGACAAGTCAAGTTTTCACATACTTCAGAAATTACAAAAACTTGGTAAGGTTTGAATAATTTAGTTGTTAACTGTAAAGATTCTTACTGCTTTTCCGATGGTACGTCCCAATAGATGCAGTATCAGGACTTGTGAAAATCGCTGAATGGGGCATCGTCACTTTTACTGGATATTTATACTTTGCATCAGACGGTGACGCCTTAAGGCCAACACAAATTATTGCTTGGTCCTCCGTTAACAGGTCTACCAGTTCAGCTGGAACTTCAGGTACTGCCTGTATGTCTTCAACGCCCCAAATCTCACTTGGATGAAACTGGATTTCAATGCCATACTTCTCGATGCAAAGCAAGCCTGCTTGCTCATCTGATGCCCCTGTCGAATCATGAATAACATCTTCTACGACCTGTTCAGAAGATGCAGAGTCTATGTTGAGCTGTTCTGATTTTGAGGTGTGTACGTTTGCTTCGCTATCCACCTGTTTTTCGACACTCCCGCTTTCCTGTTGTGAACCACCGGCTGGATCTACAACGAAACAACCGAAGACAGATTTTCTGTTTAAAGTGTATATAGGCCTACATGTAATTACTTATTTTCGGTTTAGGTCATGGTAGTTCTCACAATGTTTTTTTTAATGTAAATTTTAAAAAAAAACACTTGCATTTTCGTAAGATAATACGGTAAGGTTTTCTTCTTTTTTTTTTGTGGGGGGGGGGGGTGCGTCGGGCGTCCTTGATCAATATGGATATATTTCTTACCATTTTTGCCTTTTGATAGACGAATCATTAATGGTTTTTTAACACAAATAAGGAACAGCATTATCTTTTCGAAAAAATATATTTCAACAGCAGGTTAATTTTCCCCATGCCTTTTGTTCACACTGCCTTGCACGGAACGGCGAAAGCTCTATATTCACTGTGCGTAGGCCCTACGATAGCAGCTTCTTTGGAAGGTATTGCTTGTTTTCGGTTTTCCGTAGTTGTGTTTGACTGTTCAAATTAATAACTAACCTATATCCTGGGTTGCCCATGTTAAAATGATTTGCTTTCGAATCAATCCCTAAGGTTTTTGCCCAATTAGGTCATTATTTCACGTGTACAGTACGTCGAGGTAATACATTTCATGAAAGATCGTAATAGCCCTACGAAACATGGGATCGTCAATTTAAAGTTTAGGTACTTTCTAAAGCATATTGTAAAGCATACAATGTGTTGTATTGTCAGTGTTCCTCGTGGCCCATCCCCTCATTTTTTTCTCGACCTGTCTCTTTCGATCAATCTGACCCTGACATGTTTCAAATTTTAAAAAGAATTACTCAAATTGTCTCGCTATCCACGGACTTCCTCGGGTTTCATTAGTTGCAATAAAATACATTCATCACTAATGATAAAGGCCTATACAAGTTTTCAATTTTCATTTAACAAAGGAGGTTGGATTGTGACTATGCCAGCTCAATGGAATGACCTTATCGACGTAGTGGTCTTCTCCCCTTAAAAATTCAATCTCAACATTCGATTCAGATATTATTCTAAATGAATGATATTAATTATAAATTATGAACAGAAAATGTCAAAGAAATGTACACAAAATAAGCCGGATCGTACAAAATACCAACTGAACTAACCATTATCGATAAACTCCGCGTGGAGAGGTGTGCTGCAGTTATTATCAGCCCTATTTGGTTCTGCTTTGTGGCCAATGAGAAAATGTACAACATCGAGGTGACCTTTGAGTGATGCCGCTTGGAGAGGTGTGTGCCCCCCAATACCAGCCCTATTTAGATCTGCTCCTTGGCTAATGAGAAACTGTACGACATCGAGATGACCATTAAATGAAGCCGCTTGAAGAGGTGTGCGCCCAACAATATTATTTAGATCTGCTCCCTGGCCAGTGAGAAACTCTACAACATCGAGGTGACCTTTGAGTGATGCCAATTCCAGAGATGTGCTGCCATCATAACTAGAACTATTAAGATCTGCTCCTTGGCCAATGAGAAATTGTACAACATCGAGGTGACCGTTGGAAGATGCCACTTGAAGTGGTGTGCGCCCACCAATACCTGGCCTATTAAGATCTGCTTTTTCGCCAACGAGGAACTGAACAACATTGAGGTGACCATTTAATGATGCCGCTTGGAGAGGTGTGCGTCCACCAATACCAGCCCTTTTGAAATCTGCTTTTTGGCCAATGAGACACTGTACAACATCGAGGTGACCTTCGAGTGATGCTGCTTCTAGAAGTGTGCTACCATCATTACCATGCCTATTTAAATCTGCTCCTTGGCCAATGAGAAACTGTACAACATCGAGGTGACCGTTTGCTGATGCCGCGTGGAGAGGTGTCCTTCCATCCTTATCCGCCCCTTTTAGATCTGCTCCTTGACCAATAAGAAACTGTACAACATCGAGGTGACCTTTGAGTGATGCCGCGTAGAGAGGTGTCCTTCCATCCTTATCCGCCCCTTTTAGATCTGCTCCTTGGCCAATGAGAAATTGTACAACATCGAGGTGACCAGTGGATGATGCGACGAAGAGGGGTGTTCTGCCATCATTACAAACACCATTTAGTTCCACTCCTTGGTCAATGAGAAACTCTACAACATCGAGGTGACCACTGAATGAGGATGTGAAGAGAGGTGTCATACCATCTTTATCCACACTATTTAGATCTGCTCCTTGGCCAATGAGAAACTGTACAACATAAAGGTGACCTTCGAGTGATGCCATTTCTATAGGTGTACTGCCATCATTACTAGCACTATTTAAATCTGATCCTTGGCCAATGAGAAACTGTACAACCTCGAGGTGACCATTGCATGATGCCATATAGAGAGGCGTCCTGCCTTCTTTATCCGCCCTCTTTAGATCTGCTCCTTGGCCAATGAGAAACTGTACAACCTCGAGGTGACCATTGCATGATGCCATGTAGAGAGGTGTCGTGCCTTTCTTATCCGCCCTCTTTAGATCTGCTCCTTGGCCAATAAAAAATTGTACAACATCGAGGTGACCATTGAATGATGCCGCGTAGAGAGGTGTCCTTCCATCCTTATCCGCCCCTTTTAGATCTGCTCCTTGACCAATAAGAAACTGTACAACATCGAGGTGACCTTTGAGTGATGCCGCGTAGAGAGGTGTCCTTCCATCCTTATCCGCCCCTTTTAGATCTGCTCCTTGTCCAATAAGAAACTGTACAACATCGAGGTGACCTTTGAGTGATGCCGCGTAGAGAGGTGTCCTTCCATCCTTATCCGCCCCTTTTAGATCTGCTCCTTGGCCAATGAGAAATTGTACAACATCGAGGTGACCAGTGGATGATGCGACGAAGAGGGGTGTTCTGCCATCATTACAAACACCATTTAGTTCCACTCCTTGGTCAATGAGAAACTCTACAACATCGAGGTGACCACTGAATGAGGATGTGAAGAGAGGTGTCATACCATCTTTATCCACACTATTTAGATCTGCTCCTTGGCCAATGAGAAACTGTACAACATAAAGGTGACCTTCGAGTGATGCCATTTCTATAGGTGTACTGCCATCATTACTAGCACTATTTAAATCTGATCCTTGGCCAATGAGAAACTGTACAACCTCGAGGTGACCATTGCATGATGCCATATAGAGAGGCGTCCTGCCTTCTTTATCCGCCCTCTTTAGATCTGCTCCTTGGCCAATGAGAAACTGTACAACCTCGAGGTGACCATTGCATGATGCCATGTAGAGAGGTGTCGTGCCTTTCTTATCCGCCCTCTTTAGATCTGCTCCTTGGCCAATAAAAAATTGTACAACATCGAGGTGACCATTGAATGATGCCGCGTAGAGAGGTGTCCTTCCATCCTTATCCGCCCCTTTTAGATCTGCTCCTTGACCAATAAGAAACTGTACAACATCGAGGTGACCTTCGAGTGATGCTGCTTCTAGAAGTGTGCTACCATCATTACCATGCCTATTTAAATCTGCTCTTTGGCCAATGAGAAACTGTACAACATCGAGGTGACCGTTTGCTGATGCCGCGTGGAGAGGTGTCCTTCCATCCTTATCCGCCCCTTTTAGATCTGCTCCTTGACCAATAAGAAACTGTACAACATCGAGGTGACCTTTGAGTGATGCCGCGTAGAGAGGTGTCCTTCCATCCTTATCCGCCCCTTTTAGATCTGCTCCTTGTCCAATAAGAAACTGTACAACATCGAGGTGACCTTTGAGTGATGCCGCGTAGAGAGGTGTCCTTCCATCCTTATCCGCCCCTTTTAGATCTGCTCCTTGGCCAATGAGAAATTGTACAACATCGAGGTGACCAGTGGATGATGCGACGAAGAGGGGTGTTCTGCCATCATTACAAACCCCATTTAGTTCCACTCCTTGGCCAATGAGAAACTCTACAACATCGAGGTGACCACTGAATGAGGACGTGAAGAGAGGTGTCATACCACCTTTATCCACACCATTGCATGATGCCACTTGAAGAGGTGTCCTTCCATCCTTATCCGCCCCTTTTAGATCTGCTCCTTGACCAAAAATAAACTGTACAACATCGAGGTGACCTTTGAGTGATACCGCGTGGAGAGGTGTCCTTCCATCCTTATCCGCCCCTTTTAGATCTGCTCCTTGACCAATAAGAAACTGTACAACATCGAGGTGACCTTTGAGTGATGCCGCGTGGAGAGGTGTCCTTCCATCCTTATCCGCCCCTTTTAGATCTGCTCCTTGATCAATAAGAAACTGTACAACATCGAGATGACCTTTGGATGAAGCGACGAAGAGGGGTGTCCTTTCATCCTTATCCGCCCCTTTTAGATCTGCTCCTTGGCCAATAAGAAACTGTACAACATCGAGGTGACCGTTTGCTGATGCCGCGTAGAGAGGTGTCCTTCCATCCTTATCCGCCCCTTTTAGATCTGCTCCTTGGCCAATAAGAAACTGTACAACATCGAGGTGACCGTTTGCTGATGCCGCGTAGAGAGGTGTCCTTCCATCCTTATCCGCCCCTTTTAGATCTGCTCCTTGGCCAATAAGAAACTGTACAACATCGAGGTGACCGTTTGCTGATGCCGCGTAGAGAGGTGTCCTTCCATCCTTATCCGCCCCTTTTAGATCTGCTCCTTGGCCAATAAGAAACTGTACAACATCGAGGTGACCGTTTGCTGATGCCGCGTGGAGAGGTGTCCTTCCATCCTTATCCGCCCCTTTTAGATCTGCTCCTTGATCAATAAGAAAATGTACAACATCGAGGTGACCTTTGGATGAAGCGACGAAGAGGGGTGTCCTTCCATCCTTATCCGCCCCTTTTAGATCTGCTCCTTGGCCAATAAGAAACTGTACAACATCGAGGTGACCTTTGAGTGATGCCGCGTGGAGAGGTGTCCTTCCATCCTTATCCGCCCCTTTTAGATCTGCTCCTTGATCAATAAGAAACTGTATAACATCGAGGTGACCTTTGGATGAAGCGACGAAGAGGGGTGTCCTTTCATCCTTATCCGCCCCTTTTAGATCTGCTCCTTGGCCAATAAGAAACTGTACAACATCGAGGTGACCATTGAATGATGCCGCGTAGAGAGGTGTCCTTCCATCCTTATCCGCCCCTTTTAGATCTGCTCCTTGACCAATAAGAAACTGAACAACATCGAGGTGACCTTTGAGTGATGCCGCGTAGAGAGGTGTCCTTCCATCCTTATCCGCCCCTTTTAGATCTGCTCCTTGTCCAATAAGAAACTGTACAACATCGAGGTGACCTTTGAGTGATGCCGCGTAGAGAGGTGTCCTTCCATCCTTATCCGCCCCTTTTAGATCTGCTCCTTGGCCAATAAGAAACTGTACAACATAGAGGTGACCGTTTGCTGATGCCGCATAGAGAGGTGTCCTTCCATCCTTATCCGCCCCTTTAAGATCTGCTCCTTGGCCAATAAGAAACTGTACAACATCGAGGTGACCGTTTGCTGATGCCGCGTGGAGAGGTGTCCTTCCATCCTTATCCGCCCCTTTTAGATCTGCTCCTTGATCAATAAGAAAATGTACAACATCGAGGTGACCTTTGGATGAAGCGACGAAGAGGGGTGTCCTTCCATCCTTATCCGCCCCTTTTAGATCTGCTCCTTGGCCAATAAGAAACTGTACAACATCGAGGTGACCTTTGAGAGATGCCAATTCCAGAGATGTGCTGCCGTCATAACTAGAACTATTTAGATCTGCTCCTTGGCCAATGAGAAATTGTACAACATCGAGGTGACCGTTGGAAGATGCCACTTGAAGTAGTGTGCGCCCACCAATACCTGGCCTATTAAGATCTGCTTTTTCGCCAACGAGGAACTGTACAACATTGAGGTGACCATTTAATGATGCCGCTTGGAGAGGTGTGCGTCCACCAATACCAGCCCTTTTGAAATCTGCTTTTTGGCCAATGAGAAACTGTACAACGTCGAGGTGACCTTTGAGAGATGCTGCTTCTAGAAGTGTGCTACCATCATTACCATCCCTATTTAAATCTGCTCCTTGGCCAATGAGGAACTGTACAACATCGAGGTGACCGTTTGCTGATGCCGCGTAGAGAGGTGTCCTTCCATCCTTATCCGCTCCTTTAAGATCTGCTCCTTGACCAATAAGAAACTGTACAACATCGAGTTGACCATTGGATGATGCGACGAAGAGAGGTGTTCTGCCATCATTACAAGCACTATTTAGATCCACTCCTTGGCCAATGAGAAACTGTACAACTTCAAGGTGACCATTTAATGAGGCCGTGTAGAGAGGTGTCATACCATCTTTATTGGCCCTTTTTAGATCTGCTCCTTCACTAATAAGAAACTGTACAAGATCGAGGTGACCATTGAATGATGCTGCATCGAGAGGTGTCCATCCATCCTTATCTTCCCTGTTTAGATCTGCTCCTTGGCCAATGAGAATCTGTACATCATCGAGGTGACCATTGAATGATGCCCCATGGAGAGGTGTCCAATCATCATTTTCAGCCTCTGGAACGTCTGCTTTTTCAATTTTGTCCACATCCATGATGGAAATAAAACTGATCTGAGTGTCTGCCTGTAATTTCTAGACTGTATAATTAAAGTTTATAGGCTATTTGATCAGCCAACTAGAACTGTATTACAGCCAATGAAGACATGAAGTTATTGTCGCCCCTAACGACTCCAAGCTATGGGACGAAGATAGATAGATAGACTATAAGTGCCGCTTATTATCTGCTCCGAGTAAAACGGTTGGCAGTGGTCTTCTATAATGCACCAGCAAACTTCATTTAGACCGCGTAACGCTTCTTGCCCACAAAGGATATCACTTCTTCTCCACATTCTATTAATCAAATGTTGTTCATGTCAGCTGCATCGGTACGTTCCATTTCCGAATAAACACGACGGTCTTATACATTCTCCCATTATTGTCTCATATCTATCACCTCCTTTCGAATGTGTATAAGCGGGCTAGACCTACAGATATGGCAATGTTGTTATTCCGAAATACAAAAAACAGCACGATCTCACGAAACTTGTATGATATAACGTTTAGTACAGGCTACAATGGACGCTGCTCTATTCCAGTAGCTGCATCATGGCCCTAACACACTCAACCGTCAGTCAGATGTGCATTATGCTAGCTTCCTCCTCAAAAAACATATATTGTAGAAATTGAAATATGACCTAAATTTAGTTCCTGTTTCCTTTTTTTTTTACTCCGCTCAATAGATAGTCGACAAAAGGCTAGCACTTTACAGGGTGACCCAATAAAAACGTACAAGCATATTCGCATAAGGTGAGGAAGGAAGACATTTTATCGTGAAAAATATGATATCAATATCTACAAATTCGATAGGGGTGGGGGTTTGTTTTAGGGAACATTTTGTGATCAATGCAATAATTCATAGGAGATCAAATTTCTCCAGTATCAATGACACACCATTTTAAACCATTAGCATGATGTTATGTCTGTGTTTAAATCATTAAAAACGCTTTAAAAATGTTTTGTAAAGTTACTTTGTGTTCAATCTGATGTTTATTAGAGCTTGACCAAGGCTCGATCAAAGATAAAACCGTTACAAAACTCATCAATGACACGCAATTTTCGCAAGTAGCACTACCAATAATGTTTTTAACATTGTGGCAGAAAAATGCACCCCTAAAATACGACATATTTTTCGTGTAGATGTGTCTTGATCTATAGTTCGAGTTCCGTCGCGCGGCACTAATGTGCTTTGGCGAGTCATTATAATCTACGATTGCCACTCCCCACCCAGGTGAAGTAAATGGTTACCCAGTGGGAAGAAATTCATTGAATGTTTCAGCACCTTATCATGGGGACCTATGGGGCTAGACATTATACAGCCGGGGTATACAAAAGGACATAAATATATATTATTACGTTCTTTAAAAAAAAAACACCAATTTACAGATACCGGTATAGATTGTCCTAAATTGTCGAAAGTTTACTTGTCCGTTTTTTAAATGCCACCCTGTTCTTTTAGGCGCAGCCAGTCGACTGGGACAGACAAGGGAAGTATCAATGAAACACATATCAGTCCCTAAAGCACAGCGCACACTACCCGATTCTACTGCGATCCGATTTCTAAAGATTAAGATCGCGTGCTCGATGTTGTTATTGAAATCCATTCAAGAGAAGGAAAAAAATGAATTCAGAGGGACCTACTGGGTGCACGCCAAACAATCCTTTACAACAAATGAAACCTCTCCCAGGAAGCCCAACATAAAAAGGTAAATAGCATTGTAGAGACGATGAACAAATGAGAATAAAACATCGTCGTTAATCGTGAGAATGATCAATACTACCCCTCTCTCTCTCTCTCTCTCTCTACTAAATCCTGTGAACAGTGGAATCAATCAGGTAAAATTAATTGTTAAACGAATTTATCATGAGTCATGACAGATTAATTTCCTATTGCATATCATAGTCATATTGAAGAGCAGCAATGGTGCATATTTGTTGATATGATTGCTTTTCCCTACAAATAGTCATGAGACATAAAGCTAGATAAAACGATGCACAACAAAAATGATAGTGTCTTAAGAACATGAGAAAGTATTAGAAATAGAATGAATAAAACATGAATGTGGTCATGTAAATAGTTTTCTTTCATGTTGTTCCTTCAGTACCAAATAACCAAGCAAAACTCGGGAAAGGTACAAATATGTGTATTCATTAAAGATGATAATTTATGACATACATGTACATGTATTCTCAATTGTGAAGACATTTGATTTTCAAAATATCAAAAAGCTCGATCCTTGTGTACAATCATAGGATTGCAGGGCTTTCAAAAAGGGAACAGATTTAACACTGCCGAGGCTACCGTGTTTAAACACAGCATTATTTTATCCTCATCGTTTACATGAATGATACCAATATCCATGTTGAAAATTCATCGTTTTCATCATCAATATGGTAAATCCTGAACTTCAAGAGATCATCCAATTGCAACTATCGGAAACAGTAGCTATAACAATTATTTACTACATCATCCTTGTTCTAGCTTCCATTTTACTTGTAAGACCTACTGTCTGGAATACAATGGACAGTCAGTGACGTAGCTCCGGGGGGGGGGTGCATACATTTCCTTAACTTTATTGAGAGAGAGGGGGGGGAGGGGGTTGTGTGGGGTTCAAATTCAGTTTTCTTTAAAATTATAAAACCTAGGTACTTATGAATTTATCTTCCATGTGATGGCAATTGATAGTACCAAAATGGTGTACTGTCTTGTAAAGAAATATTTTGCTTGCACCTAGTACATTATAGAGAGCTACAAAACTTGCCAAAGTGTGAGACACTTAAACTACTCAGAGAGACTCAAAGCACTGAAAATCCCCACTCTACAGTTCGGACGGAAACGATCTGATATGATTCAAGTGTCCAGGATAATGCACCAGTTTGACAATCTTCAAGAGCAGAACAAAGTGCAGTCGCACCCATGGTCACTCACTTAAGCATAACAAGCTAAAATGCCGGAAGACACTAAGGAAAAACTCATTTAGCCAGATAATAATCAATGTGTGGAATGGTCTTCTAGGCGATGTTGTGGAGAGTACCACAATCAATCGCTTCAAATCTGGACTTGAGAACTGGTGGAGAGATGGCCCAGATAATTATGGTGATAATCCTAACCAAAGGAAACCATGGATAGGAACAACAGATGATCCTGGATCAAGTGAGTTACAAGTGAGTTAAGATCGCGTGCTCGATTTTGTTATTGAAAAGCCTAACATTTCTTTACAACAATTGAAACTTCTCCATGGAAGCCTAACATAAACAAGTAGTTTATTCAAAACAGACGATGAACAAAATCGTATCCGGACACCTTCCCCCTGGACATCCACCCCCGGATAACCACCCCAGTCAACTACCCCTAGGACAACTACCCCCTAGGACAACTACCCCTAAGGCAAACACCCTCTAGAACGACTCCCCCGGGACAACTACCCCGGACAACTACCCCCAGACAACTACCCCCTAGGAAAACTACCCCCGGACAACTATCCCGGACAAGTACCCCCTATGACAACTACCCCCTAGACAACTCCGCCCCAGACAACTACCCCCTAGGATAGTTGTCCTAGAGGATGGTTATTGTAGGGGGGTAGTTGTCCTAGTGGGTAGTTTTTTTCTTCAAAATGTCCAATATCAACAATTGATTCAGATATTTCCCTAAATGAATAATGAAAATAATAAATTATAAACACAGGAAGTGTCAAAGAAATGTACAGTACATAATCCGGAACGTACAAAATATCAACTGAACTTACCTTTATCAATTAACTGCAAGTGGAGAGGTGTACTAGCCATATTTAGATCTGCTTCATGGTCACTGAGAAACTCTACAACATTGAGGTAACCATTTGATGATGCCGCTTGGAGAGGTGTCCTGCCATCATTACCAGCCCTACTGAGATCTGCTCCTTGGCCAATGAGAAACTGCACAACATCGAGGTGACCATTGGATGATGCCGCGTGAAGAGGTGTCCTGCCATCATTACCAGCCGTATTTAGATCTGCTCCTTGGCCAATGAGAAACTGTACAACATCGACCTGACCACTGAATGATGCCGCATGGAGAGGTGTGGTGCCACCATTACCAGTCCTATTTAGATCTGCTCCTTGGCCAATGAGAAACTGTACAACATCGAGGTGACCATTGAATGATGCCACTTGGAGAGGTGTACGCCCCTTACTACCAGCCCTGTTTAGATCTGCTTGTTGGCCAATGAGAAACTGTACAACATCAAGGTGACCTTTGCGTGACGCCGCTTCTAGAGGTGTGCTGCCATTATTAACAGCCCTATTTAAATCTGCTGTTTGGCCAGTGAGAAACTCAACAACATCGAGGCGACCTTTGAGTGATGCCTCGTGGAGAGGTGTCCTGCCACCATTACTAGCCCTATTTAGATCTGCCCCTTGGCCAATGAGGAACTGTACAACATCGAGGTGACCATTTGATGATGCCGCGTGGAGAGGTGCCCTACCACCATTACTAGCCATATTTAGATCTGCTCCTTGGTGAATGAGAAACTGTACAACATCGAGGTGACCATTGAATGATGCCGCATGGAGAGGTGTCCTGCCATCATCATCAGCCGTATTGAGATCTGCCTTTTGGCCAGTGAGAAACTGTACAACATCGAGGTGACCTTTGAGTGATGCCGCTTGGAGAGGTGTGCCGCCGTCATTACCAGCCCTATTTAAATCTGCTGTTTGGCCAATGAGAAACTGTACAACATCGAGGTGACCATTGGATGATGCCGCGTAGAGAGGTGTCTTGCCATCAATACCAGCCCTATTTATATCTGCTCCTTGGCCAATGAGAACCTGTACATCCTCGAGGTGACCATTGGATGATGCTGCTTGGAGAGATGTCAAATCATCATTTTTTGCCTCAGAAAGGGCTGCTCTTTGAAACCTGTTCCAAGACATGATAATAATTCAACTGATCTGAATGTTTACCTGTAATATCTTTACTATTATAATTGAAGTATAGTTTATTATTTTGATTGGCGACCTAGAACTGTATAACAGCTGAAGACATCAAGTTGTGGAAAAGCTGCGTCTCAGGTTTCATTTTTATTGTCACCCCCAATGGTTCCAAGCTCTGGGACGAAGATAGATAGATAGGCAATACTGTGCTGCTTATTATTTGCTCCCAGTATAACGGCTGGCAATGGTTTAATGAGCCTACAAACTTTGTTTTGACCGCGTGATTATTCTTGCCCTGAAAGGAGATCACTTCTTCTCATAATATATTATATTAGTTGTTCTTGCCAGCTGCATCGGTACGTTACATTCCGAATAAACATGACAGTCTTCCAAACTTCCATTAATGTGCCATATCCTTAACCTTGCGTAGTCAAATCTCGAATGTGTATAGGCGACCTAGGCCTACATAATTATATGGCAATGTTATTATTCCAAAATAAAAAGACCCATCGCGATCTCATAGGAAACTTGTATGATATGACGTTTGATACAGGCTACAATAAATACACGCAGCTCTATTCCCAGTTGTTGCAATATGAACCTAACGCACTCAACCGTCATCCGGGTGTGATTTATGGTAGCTGCTTCCTCAAAAATGTATATTGTAAAAATGGAAATATGGCATGAATTTGGTTTCTGTTTACTTTTTACTCGGCTCAATGAATAGACGATAATATGCTATACAGGGTGGCTTAATAACAAAAGTACTAGCATAAGATCCCATAACGTGAGGAAGAAGAATATGTTCTTGTGAAAAATATGATACCAACATTTACCAATTTGGTAGAGGGTTTTTTGTTTTAGAGAGCATTTTGTGATGCGATAATTCATAGGAGTTCAAGTTTGTCCAATTTCAAGGAAACAGCATTTAAAACTACAGGTATATGGAATTATTTAATGTCTGCGTTAAAATCATTAAAAACGTGGGTAAAAATATTGTTCAATCTGATGTTTATTACAGCTTGACCAATGCTTGCATTAATATCATTCTGAAACTCAACAATGAGACGTGATATCCGCATGCGGCACTGCCAGTTGATCTTTTCAATATTTTGCAAAAAATGCATCCCTAAAATGCGAAATTTGGTTTATAGAGGTGTCGTGGTTTATAGTAAATATCCATCATCGGACTGGGGATCAAATGGCTCACGGTTCGAGTCCCACCACGCGACACAAATGTACTTTGGCGAGAAAATATAATCTACAATTACCACTCTCCACCCAGGTGAAGTGAACGGGTATCTAGTAGAAAAAACTTCATTGAATGTTTGAGCCCCTTATCATGGGGGCTCGTGCGGCTTCATGTTATACAGCCGGTGTAGTATATAAATGGACATATTATTATTATTATTATCATATTACTACTACTACACTGTATTAGGTTTGTTTTAAAGATTCCCCATCTACTGATACCGGTTAAATTTGCTCTGCATTATCGGAAGTATGCTAGTCCGTTTTTGTTATTGCCACCCTGTCGTTATAGGCGCAACTAGTCGACTGGGACAGACAAGAGAAGTATCAATGAAACACATACCAGTCTCCAAGGCTCAGCGCACACCACATGATCCGACTGCGATCCGATTTTGGAAGAATTTACAACAGCTAGCGCATTTTATATGAACATTAAAACATGTAAAATGTGAATGATCGTGGTGAGTGCCTCTTTTCATCTGCGGTGGGTGTTTACTTTCAGGTGCGAAAAGTGCCCCTTTTCCTTTCACAAATGCCCCTTAAAACCTCTGATAATTGCCATTTTTACTTTGACATGTGCCCCTTTTCCTGCCTCGGAAGTGCTCCTTTTTTTACTAGTGATAAGTGCATCTCTCATTGTTTTAATAACAACCCCTTCCCATTTTCATCAATGCCCCTTCTTACCTTTCTATAAGCGCCCCTTTTATTTGCTCCTATGCTATAACATTTTAATTCCATTGAAAATCGGATTGGAGGACGAGAGGGTAGTGTGCGGTGGTTTTTATTCTATACTTGTTTATTTTCTCCTTCACTTTTTTTCTCTCTTAATCTATCTCTCTCTCTCACTTTCTCCTTCTCTATCTCAGTCTCACTCTTTTTTGGTCATCTCTCTTCATCTCTCTCTCTCTCTCTCTCTCTCTCTCTCTCTCTCTCTCTCATCTCTCTCTCTCTTATCTCTCTCTCTCTCTCTCTCTCTCTTTATCTCTCTCTCTCTCTATCTGTCTCCATCTCTCTCTCTCTCTTCATCTCTCTCTATATCTATCTTAGTCTGCCCTCTCTCTTCATCTCTCTCTCTTTCTCTCTCTCTTTATCTCTCTCTCTATCTGTCTCCATCTCTCTCTCTCTTCATCTCTCTCTATATCTATCTTAGTCTGCCCTCTCTCTTCATCTCTCTCTCTCTCTCTCTTATCTCTCTCTCTCTCTCTCTCTTTATCTCTCTCTCTCTCTATCTGTCTCCATCTCTCTCTCTTCATCTCTCTCTATATCTATCTTAGTCTGCCCTCTCTCTTCATCTCTCTCTCTTTCTCTCTCTCTTTATCTCTCTCTCTATCTGTCTCCATCTCTCTCTCTCTCTCTTCATCTCTTTCTATATCTATCTTAGTCTGCCCTCTCTCTTCATCTCTCTCTCTCTCTTATCTCTCTCTCTCTCTTTATCTCTCTCTCTCTCTATCTGTCTCCATCTCTCTCTCTTCATCTCTCTCTATATCTATCTCAGTCTGCCCTCTCTCTTCATCTCTCTCTCTTTCTCTCTCTCTTTCTTCATCTGTCCATCTCTCTGAGTCTTTATCTACCTGCGTCTATATATATATATCCATCTATTTGATTTCCTTTCCCCCCTTTCTATATAAATATATATCATTCCCTCTCTTCCATTTTAGCTGTCACAGAGTATTTGTTTTCATATATTGAGTTACAGTCTAGTATGTGTACATTCTTTATTGCACATACTTGTATTCAGCTTGATGTTTGAAGCTATTTGAGGTCACTATAAGTTGGACATGAATGTTGATGGTATAGAAAAGATTTAATAAGAATTAAAAATGTACAAATCGTCTAGAGTTTTCTATTGTATTTCAGATTATCAGGCGGTTTCACTCACGTCCTTCTGCAAATATAAAAATACGGCAATTCTTTCGACTGAAATACTATTCACTGTCGGATCCGGTTGTGGTGTCCAATCTAAACAAATTATTTCCGTCTGGCAATACTGTTCTTCGAGTTGTTCATCAAAGAAGATTAGATGGCGCTGTTTCTTTTTCTCTGGCTCAAATATTGATTAAGTCTTTTCAGCGTTTCATTTTTCTTCAACAATGCAACAATTCTTTGTAACACCACGAAATTTAATACACACATCTTTGTTAAGTGCCTCGTTGAAAGGTATTTAATTCACCTGTTACAATTAATTGTGTTTCAATAGTCAAGATGCGTGTTGTGTGGTAGGACAAGGAGAGGAAATTTGTCACGTTCACTTTGATAGTGAAATCTGTCAATCAAATAAAGATTAATTATAAATTAATCAATTATCAAATATTCAATACTATACATTTCTGTTCAACATCATTTTACAAAGATCTTGATTCATTCATTCATATAATTCAGTGAGCAAAATTTACAGTAGTGCCAATAATTACAATGCATGTTACCTCATTAAATAACATCTTGGCATAAAATATATACAACATTAATACAGAAGAACCCTTAATTTTACTCACCGGTCGGCACCAGCTACACTGTGCTAAATCAACATACATGAGTGTTACCATCCAACGCTCATGTAGCACAAGACTTTCATTAGTCTATAATGACTTTGTGCTATACCTTTACAAATGTCTTAAAAGTTACATGAAAAGAAGAAGAAAAAAACCTTACTTCAAAATAGTGCCTTTTACAAAATGAAATCTAACCAGTAGGAGGTAAAGTTTGTGCTCATTTCAACCTTGCAATGCTATACATGTAGTTGTCATAATATATTACAAAATAGTAAAATGTGCTTAAAACAAAGACCCAGTACAATTCAAATTATGACAGTACTTTAAGTTTGTTCGTATAGACAATAACACAGTGCAATGTTTTAAACATTATCAATAGCATTACCAAATAAAAGTCACAAGTATCAGCATATCAGATGCAGTATAAGGCCTGATCCAATGGCCCACACAATTACACCAGTAAAGAAGTCACTAGTAATCCTTACTACATATATATCATAGTAGATAATGTAAAGTGGTAATATGATATGTATGATAATCAGTTAAATAAGGTATAATCATCGTGAACACGCACTTCAAATACAAATATGAATTACAATTCGGTTTTAAGCTGCACATAAAGCTCTTTACACTTGCCACATGACAAGCACAAGATAATATTATCAAAACGCCAAGGCGGTCCGTATTATACAGGAAGGACAAGAAGAAGAAATAAATCTCTGCACACATTCTTCTGCAGCAAACACATGAACAGGCACCTTTACCGTCAACAGCACAGAGTGCTCTTTCTATTATAAAACTGAGCCACTGTAGGACTCTCCCACTGCTTAGAATAAAAGATGTGCACTGATGCACAGCCAAGTACAAAGTAATACTTATAGGGGATACTCGAATTGGAGAAATGGAGGTACCCCTCCCCAAAGGTTGGAAACATTCGACCAATGACTGAGGAGAAACAAAAAGGGGGAGGGGTACCTTTGTCTGCTCTCCCTATTGATACACATGCTAAGTAAAGCATTCATTTCATAATCAAAATAGACGGTGAATAAAATAAGTCGTGGTAATATAGCACACATTGCCCAAGAAAATGGATTTGCCAAAGCAGGGCATACCATAAAAACGTACAGTTTAACTAACAGCGTATTAATACAGCATTCAATACATGAAGTAAGATATATCAATGAAAATAATGCAATAACACAATTATTTACAACACTTAATAATTATAGCAGAATTTTTTGTTCATAACATCTGTTTGAATTTAACCATTTAGAAAACAGAATGAGATCAGCATTGATTACATTTGCAATAACCATCCTGGTTATATGGTTCTATGGTTCTATGGTGATTTTATATATGTCAGCTGCATAATTATATTTGTGTGTCGTCTTTATTCAAAAGAAATAGTAAGAAACGATATGAAATAAAGGGGAAAAAATGAACATTGAAAACCCAGTTCCATGACACTGTATAGTACAAATTACGTATGTGTCATTGGTAGAGTCACACAAATAAATTATGTACATGGAACATAATAAGATTCAAGAAACATTCATTACAAATCGAGATAATAAAACATCAACGGTAATAAACAAGTTATCTATATGTTATTCATCTATTTAGGAACCCTACAAAATAATCATTGTAAAGCAAAACCTTGATTATAAATATTATAATTTTGGAGATTTGAATTGTCATACAACTCAATGGTTATTTGTTCTTCTTCTTTTTGACATGAGTAACAAAATTAATAAACAAAAAGGAAAGAATGAACAGCTAGTGTAATTGATGTGACATTGGAAACTAATCAATTGAATGATAGTTTTACATGTATATTGCATGATACAAAAAATAAAATATTTAAAGACTGATACTTGTATTTAATTATCTTAAACAGTGTTCTGAAATGTCATCATAATTAAAGAAAACATTCTAAATAATTATATATCATGGACTAAGACGATAAAATAAATAATTTATAATAGGCAATAATAATAATATGTGTATACATATCATAATCATCTATATAAACTTGATGAAGTTAGTAACTGCTCCTTATTTCATCATAATGATACTTATAATTGTCATGAAAAAGATAATACATTTTCTCGATGAATATAACAAAAGTATAGATATTTCAAATAATGACATTTCCAACGTATACTTTTTTTCTCCAGTGATATTTTGTACAAGGCAAGATCAAGTTCAATGTTATGTAAAAAAAAAAAAAAACATACACACATTCAGCTCAAATGCACTTTATTATAGATTGAATCAAGGGAATTAGCAACGACCAAGGCGGTCTTGTCAATATAGTCTCCTTATGAAATAAAGTAAAGATACAATTCGATATATTAATACATAGATAGCAGAAATTAGGAGGGGGCCTATATTGCACAAGACATTAAACTCATTTGATCTTCATTGACCTCATTTACAACTGTGCATGTTATTAGTCGATGGGTTGAAAAAAGATGGGTTTGCATGGTTAGTATGACCCTATCGGTAACCCCAACGGTCACTGTGTGCACATGATTGGGTTTGGCTAGCTGGATAGACTCTTCCGATTGGCTGTATGCAAATGAGTTCATACCGGGGTCCGGAACTGTCGTGGGAAAAAAATGACAAAACACGGAAGTCTGGAAACGTTTGTACAGAAATGAGAAGGCGATGAAGCCTGTTCAATGTACCGAACCGGGCTGGCCAGAAAATACACACATAACGGTCAAATGATTTATGTAGACAGCCTGTCTGGAATCTCCGCAAAATGCGAAAAATTTAACAGCGTCGATTTTTTTTTTTGTCCTTCTCTTTTCTGCTTCCATTAAAAAATTTAAACACAACTTGAATTCGGCATAAATATTCATAATTGAATGACACACGCCTTTAAGACTTAAAAACAACAACAACACAACAATGTGAGCGTACCAGGAGAAATCAACATCTGGAGACAGGTACGCTATTCCATTAAGTGTTATATCTATTTAATCTAATTACTGTTACGGGAAAAGTACGAAACAGTCCGTAATGTAACGGTATTTGAAATCCTAAAGAAAAATAAATTATAATGTCAGTGGAGAAAATTCCTGTTTGTACTGTACATTTCAGAAGTGAACCATTGATTTAACTTATTTGAAAAAACAATGAAGTCATCACATTACAAAAGATCCTTATTGCTTCCAAAGTTGTTTGATTTTAACATTGTTGTCATTTATCCAAGCGAGCCATGTACATTTTCTCTTTCTGTTCATATTCAGCGAGGCAAGTCCATGTGAATATATTTTTTACTTTTGCTCTTGTTTATAGGTGGATCTAAGACCACCAGCCTTTGACTCAACGAGAACCTGGTCCAGATCTTCGAAGGTCCTACGGGATTCTGTATTCCACATCTGCAGAAGTTTCATGTATGTTTGTGTATAGTCATTTCCGTTCTTCTTTAGGATGCATTGTGCAATACTTGATTGGATTCCCAGAGCAACGTGCAGAGCGGAGAAATTTTCCGGATAGAGTCCATTTGAGATCTTTTCCAAATGCACATCTTTCACTTCTGGTGAGTAGGTAAGCCTGAGATTAAAAAAGAGAACGAGATTTAGTTTGCGATGTTAACACTTATATTTAGGCCTACAGCTGGTTATGGAAAAAAGTTTATCAATGATAAAAGTAATTTGAGTAGACAAATTTACCAGTGGGAAATGTACAACATGTCTAAAGTTGAAGAAAATGGTAAACAAACTTTGCATGTAGAGCATATTTCTGTTAAAAACAATATATAGGTTACAATAAGTAATATATTGTAAATATGTAAATAAACCAATGAATCGTCTCATAAAGCTCCTTTTAAACTCTTCAAACCTATCAAAATATTGATTATATAAAAGACTGGGACTTTACGAAATGGAGAAGAAAACACCACTGCTCACAAATTGCCGAAACCAAGAAAATGTGACTTCATGAAAACCAACTAAAAGAGGAAGTGGTAAAAATGAAGTACTAAAATGTAAGCACATTAACAACTAGGAAAAACAATCAGCAGCGGAGTCGAATAATTCCCGGTGCTATATACATGTACACAAAGCGGTATTTCCCACTTTTGTTGTTGGGGGAGGGGGGGGGGGTATGTTGGTTAAGATATTTTTTTAATTTTTTTATATTTTATCTACTCCATGATTGTTGTTGTTAATTGCATAGTGATTCATGAATTGTTGTACATCATTATTTTATCATTGTTACCTTTTCTGTAAAGTCACATGGATTGGAAAAGAAGACCTTCGGGTTCCAGTTATTTACTTTAAATCTTTTTTCTTTTTTTCCGGCATCCACGTGACTCTTTTCCAAATGTACTTTTGTTTTTTATTCAATGATTTTCTTTATTTTTGCCGAATAGATAATAATAATAGTAGAATATGTAAACCTACCTTTGAGCTCTGTTTGCCCTAGGTGTTACCTCGTCTCCTATAACAAGAATTAACAAAAAACACTGATTCACGTCGGTGTTTTATCGTTAGTGTTACTTTTATATTAGATTCTGAATTCCAATAGTATTTCCGATTGTACAAGTTTCCTACATTTTTCTAATTTCTTGTAATTTTGAAATTTTCTTTGATTAATAGTATTTCAGATAAAACCAAACATGATGTCAGAGAGAGATATTGGTAAACATAACAAATTAGTTTGGCGTCGCCATGCGTTTGGAAAAGACACATTTACCTAAAACAAAGCTTGGCCGAGATAAGTAATTTCATTGCAAACTCTTAATACCTAACCACGATGCAAGAAAAAAGAAACCCAAATTATAATTTCACTAGTTCAATATTTTATGGCATCAGCGTTTTTTTTTTTTTTTTTCTGGTTTAGACATCTGACACATCTGAAACAGTGGATTAGTTTTAAATATTAAAATTGTGTTGTTCTTCCTTTTTGTTCTCCTTTTTTCTTCCTTTCTTTGCTATGCAGCTGAAAACTAAGCTAGGGGCCTACATTTATATGATTTCAAGCGATCAACACTTACCTGACAGATTCACCGGACAAATAATATCTATTGTTGTATTTTGTTCCAAAATGAACTGAACGTAGACTTTAGATTTGGCAACGGCTGAAGTGTTTACGACGAACCGTACATTGACCTCAATTGAGTGACGAAACAAAGTTTCCTGCCGTTTCTGTAAAGAAAGACATAGAATGCAAATTTTGAATACACGTTAGATCTTCCAGTCATGTCAATGAATTATATTGTATTACCTAAATTATTTCCGTCATGAAAGATTATCTTCCTGCTACATGTGTCTCACATTATATCCGTTAGGTATCATTCTATAGAATATAACGTGTTTTCGATCCCCTGTTTAATGGTTAAGTAATCAAACGCACACAGCACACACACACACACACACACACGCACACGACTCTTCGCACCAGAACACGCACACCCACTTTTGTCAAGCGCACACGTTCGTGTTCAAGGGTGAAATAATGGAGCTCTTAACACGCTTCTCCCCACATAACGGATTGTATGTTGAAGGGAACTATTTGGAGCTGCATGACTTTAAGTACATATTTATTCATTTTAAAAACTAACTTTATTTTAATTAGTGCAAAGTTGAAACTTTGATTCGAAAAGGTTATCAAAATTCAATGCTTGGCAACATTCGAAGTAATTATTATTATAAATTACAAAAATTACAGCCCCGGCAAAGCACCTGAAGAGCTCTCCGAACTCTGCTGAGATGTGTGACATCACAGGATGGACATGATTTGCACAAGCAGACGATGTCCCATGACATCTCACACATTTTCAGTGCCTGTTTTTTCATCTTCTCTTGAGTTCTTTCTCTTATTTTACTACCGTCAGGCTAAATGTAAAATCTATTGCCTCACTATAAACCCCGCGCATGGTTTCATCTTGATGACAAATGCAGCAATACAAAATTAAAGGAATCTGTCGCTTGTAAACAAAATAAACGTCATTGTATTTTCAGATGCACACACTGTGGTATGTTCGGCGTGTCAAGATGGAACAAAAGCCGTCCTTAATATCATTTTGGGGTTTTTTCGATTTGAAAGTCTGGTTTCTTTTATTGTTAATTAACTTCTATCCTGTGTATTTACAAACAAAAGATTTTAGTTATCAGAATCGGTTTCATACCCCCTTTTGAATGGTTTGAAATGCCATCACATTAATATACACTAAACTCATTATAATTTGAGAAATAATAGCTTTGCAATTACGTTCATTCTTTATGGGAAGTCGTCTGCTTGGGCAGTATTGGTGCATTATGTGACGTCATTACTGAGCATTGTTATTTTTCTGGCGAATCTTTCGTATATCCAAAATGCTATGGAGGTGATTTTATTTGTATTTGTATAAATCACCCGATATGTAGTTGACCTAAAACTTGTACAATGGCCATCTGTTAGCTTACCGGTTTCTAGTAATACATTAGTTTACATATTTGTGATTTTCTCTGAATTTCCACTTTGACGTTTGGTTGTGTACGTGACCGCGTATTACATCTATCTTTCTTCTAGGCTACGGGCAGATCATATAGACCGAAAGCACACCAACCAAACATATGCATTACTCTGAATAGCGAACAAATCGATTAGGCAATTATGAGTTGGTTTTGTCGATCTGGATTAAAGCAGTTATATGAACTTGCCTTGGTGTATATTTCCCCATCGTCTACCTGACAGGTTACCGTAAGATCGCCAGAACGCCATGCCACAAAATACTCTTCTCCCTTTATCGGTGTCACGTATCCTGGTTCGGGCTGATTTGTTGTGTTTAAACAGAGAGGAAAATATTTAGTTTTGATCATACACATGCGGTATAATGAAATGAAAGAAATAGTATAATGTTCACACAATAAAAAGCATACAGAATTCTGCGTAAATTCCACAGATTAAAAAGTTTAATATACCTATTGCCATTGGCAACTTGCAAAGTTTCTCTCATTTGCATAGGCCTTCGTATAATATCTAAGTCCAAATCCAATCCAGGAATTTATAAAGGGCCATTATCTAGTTGCCTAATCAATAATACTAACGTTCAAATGTGATCTTTGAGAATACATGTTCCAGAACATGTATGTTATCAATGAATACAATGTATAATAGCTCACAGACAAAACAAATTTCTGACTTTGTTTAGTAAGACAAATATGATTTCCGCTATGTGCTCTTTGTCAAATGATTATCCTGTTCTAATATCATATGGCGAATACTTTCAAATAATCATATGTTGGAATTCCATAACAAAATGCGTAAACAAGTATACTCATCCTTTACAGATATCGATTTAAACCTGTGTGCACCTTGGATTACCTTTCATGGTATAGGGTAACTATATGTTTCACGCTAAATTTAGCAGTTTGGTCATTAAATTTAATTTTAAGAACAGTCATATTCATGATAGTCTCGACCGGCCGCCGCTGCAAACTGCCATTCGAATGTATGTTCATTACTCTTCGCAATTATTATGTTGATGCAAAAAGCTCTCCAAATAAAGGTTATGCCAATTTAAATAAGGAGCATACGATTTAACGAATCGTCATTTAATTCATTTTTTCCCGTTCGAATTATTTTTTCTCGTTCGAACTCACTGTCTTTGCATCAATATATTACGAGTCACATGGGTATTCAAAACCTTTTATTTTTCTTCATCCATTCAAATTCATGAAAGGGCAAGTATGTTGTAAATAAGTGTATTAGATTTAAGGTGCAAAATGAAATTAAGAGGGGAAAAGTGTGTGCCTTTTCCACGTAAATTATAAAACTTAATTAAGGAAACATGGCATGCAATGGCTTAACAACATTGTTTAGAACCAGCAGCCTTGACAACTTGGGTATTATGACGTTACACTTTGATACTCTTTATAATCTGTTTGTCCTACCAACAATTAATGTTGCCAATCGCATTGTGACTATTGAAATAAGTTAGTCGTAACAGGTGAATACAAATATTTGTTACATGGCACTTAAAGATTTGCGCATTACATTTGATTTCAATACAAAATCGTCTATTTGCCCATCACCAGCCCAGGTTGCACGGTCATTTTGTGGTGAACCTCTGTTGTTTTGAACCGGTTACATGGACGATGAGTGAATATGACATAAGTACTTTGGTAGTCTTTGAACAAACTGTGTCACATTACCCCTTCCCTTGGACCCTTTCATACCTCTGCTTCTCCGTAGTTGCTATCTCTAATGCAGAGTCTCAACAGATGCTCGTCGTTCCCAGGGCTCGGGTTGGGTACAAAAGGCGTACAGGTGAAACGTTTGCCGAAGAATGCTTTTGTGAAGAAGGCAACAATACGCCATTCACAGAAGTGAGATATATAGAAGTCAAGGTCTCGCTCTCTAACAACGCATCTAGGGTCACCATTGGCAAAAGCAATCAACGAAAAACTGTCGGAGCCTTTTAATTGAAAACACAAAAGATATGCGTAATCGCAATTTGTTCTTCTTTGCAAAATCTAAAACAAGGCAAAATATTAAAACACAAAATACATATTTTAGAAAACGCAGAAGCGACGGAGAGGTCGAGTACCCCTAGCTATGTACCACCGATTTCCTTTATAATACTACTACCAGCTAATACGTCTTTAAACGAAAAAACGTAGTCATGCTTGAAGCAGAAAGAATTTTGCTCTAGACGGTTTCTCACAAAAAGGGTTAGAATTCGAAATCGATGATCTTGGATTTGTGTAATTTTGCCAGGGAAATAACAATTTACCCAATTGGCAAAAACGAATGGCACGGTGTCAACTTGTCGTTGAAATTGCAGACTTCAGGTCTTGTGTTCTCTCTTAAAAACCCCGTATAACATACCAAACAAACAGGAATTGCGTATCGCTTAAAGGTGAAATTCAAAGAAGATCACAAAATGTCAACTAATGTATCACTAGAAACTGGTAAGCTAACAGATGGCAAGCGGGTTAGTTTTAGGTCAACTACATATCGGGTGATTTATACAAATACAACCACTTCCATAGCAGCTGGGATATACGAGAGATTCGCCGGAAAAATAACGATGTTTTAATGACGTCACTATATGGATCATCACTGCCCAAGCAGACGACATCCCATAGAGAATGAACATAATTGCAAAGCTATTATTTCTCAAATTATAATGAGTTTAGTGTATATAAATGCAATGGCATGTCAAACCATTCAAAAGGGGATATGACCCGATTCTGATAACTAAAATATTTTGCTTGTAAGTACACAGGATAGGGGTTAATTAACCATCACAGAAACCAGACTTTCAACTTGAAAAACCCCCGGAATGATATTAAGGACGACATTTGTACCCTCTCGAAACGCCGAACATACCCCGGTGTGTGCAGCTGAATATACAATGGCGTCTTATTTTGTTTAAAAGCGACAGATTCCTTTGTTTTTGTATCGCTGCATTTGTCATCAAAATAAAAACATGCGCGGTGGTTTAGAGGGTGGCAATAGATTATACATTTAGCCTGACGGTAGTGAAGTAAGAGAAAGAGCTCAAGATAAGATGAATACACAGGAACTGAAAATGTGTGAGATGTCATGGGACATCGTCTGCCTGTGCAAGTCATGTCCATACTGTGATCTCACACATCTCAGCAGCGTTCGGAGAGCTCTGCAGGTGCTATACCGGGGCTGTATTTAAGCGTTTTGTAATTTATAGTAATCATTACTTCGAATGTTTCTAAGCATTGAATTTTGATAACATTGTCGAATCAAAGTTTCAACTTTGCAATAATGAAAATAAAGTTAGTTTTTAAAATCAATGAATATCTGCTTTAATAGTCTGTTCAATTTATGGAGAAATAAAATCCCCCCCCCCTATTGTGACAAAGGTTTTTGAACAGTTTCAGGTAGTGTTTCACATCGGAAACAACATACTAAAGAGCTAAAACAAAATCAGACCCCCGGAAATTGGTTATTTTCAAAATGGCGTCCAAAATGACCATCAATACGTTAGAACAGCCACAAATAATGATACAACTATTTTAGAGATGTGATTTTAATGTCTATTTACAAACAGATTAGGAGGGCTGAAGAATTCATAAATACTAAAAACTCTCTTTGATGCATTTGGGGGGTCAAACCCTAAATTGACCCGACTACAATGTATTTTGAAAAGTGGACTCTGTTTCGGCCAATGAAGCATGCTTCAATATATCACTCGATGTCGCGATAGGTGATTGAATGTTGATAACGTTTTAATATAATGCTTCTGAAAAAAGACATGCAATAAACAACTAAATTAATTGTACCCTTTGTTAATTTAATGTTTATCGTGTTTTTCCTAAATCAACAATGAAAGTTGAACTTGTTGAATTAGGACCTGTGTTCAATACTTTTTAAAGTAAGTTTAAATGTATGTCACATTCTCAAGAAACATAGGTTAGCACAAGTTAATTTTTCACATACTTCAAAAATATAGAACTTGGTAAGAGTATGATTCTTTTAGTTGTTAACTGTAAAGATTCTTACTGCTTTTCCGATGGTAAATCCCAATAGAGGCAGTTTCAGGACTTGTAAAAATTGCTGAATGGGGCATCGTCACTTTTACTGGATATTTAAACTTTGCATCAGACGGTGACGCCTTAAGACCAACACAAATGATTGCTTGGTCCTCCGTCAACAGGTCTACCAGTTCAGCTGGAACCTCAGGTACTGCCTGGATGTCTTCAACGCCCCTAATCTCACTTGGATGAAACTGGACATCAATGCCATACTTCTCGATGCGAATCGAGCCTGACTGCTGATCGGATGCCCCAATGGAATCAAGAATAACATCTTCTACTACCTGTTCAGAAGATGCATAGTCTATGTACTGTTGTTCTGTTTTTGAGGTCTGCACGTTTGCTTCGTTATCCACCTGTTTTTCGACACTCCCACTTTCCTTTTTTGAACCAACGACTGGATCTATAAAGAAACAACCAAAGACGGATTTTCTTGTTTAAGGTGTATTCGATCACTTTTTTCCTGATTAAGTCATGGTTGTTCTCACAATTGACTTAAGTAAATAATGGGAATTTTATATAGGCCCGTATTCACACGGAAGGTTTGTCGACAAACCTCCTTTGTGAATACGGGCCAATATGTCCCTTTTGCAGCCAACATCAAATTTCGTAGAACTTTGCAGGAATTATGATATTAATTATCATGTATGTCCTATCTGTGAAATTCAAACGTTAGCAGTGTCCTAATATTCAAATTATGCAAGGAAACCCGTTTACTTGCTAGACTTCACTGTCAGACACTATTGAGTGACTGAATGGATTTTTTCTCTTTGGTAATAACATACATATCATGAACTGTAAAGAGTACATGAGCATTTGTCTTCATCGATAACCCACGTTTTGTAGTTGTCAAAATTAAACTGATTGAATCTTTGCGCAACACAAAACGTACGACCATCCCGTACAATGGTCTGAACATCAGACTATTACCCCCTGTCTTAGTAACACTTGACAGCTAATAGTCGTTATTTTCCCACTTAAAGACATTTTCAAGCCCCTCCCCCCTTTTTTTAAGGGAAATGTATTATCTTTCAAATGCCGTTGGAATTTAACCTTTACATTTGTTGGCCTGCAAATGGGTAATAGTACCTTTAAAAATACACTTGCGAATATTTAAGATAATACGGTAAGTTTTTTTTTTTTTTTATCAATTTATTTTATTTTTTATTTTTATTTTTATTTTTATTTTTATTTATTTTTATTTATTTTATTTTTTTTATTTTTTATTTTGTATATTGTTTTATTAATATTATTATAATTATTATTTTGTTTTAATCATTATTATTATTATTATTATTATTATTATTATTATTATTATTATTATTATTATTATTATTTTATGTTTTTGTTGTTGGGGGGGGGGGGCGGGTTCCATGCTTTAATGTTTTTGCTGCTGCCTCCTAGAAATCCGCTCTCATTGGGAATGACTGGGACCAGCCAGAAGGTGGTTGATAAGGTTCATATTTAGTTTGTTGTTTTTTCTATAGTTGTGGGTCAATGCTCCCGGGTTTCTTTCAGAGCAAGTGGAGTGAAAGAGAGATCCCGGGAGAGCGAGTCTTAGATACACCATGGATCTATTACCTATTAGGTCCATGGATAAACACAGCAACCTGAACAAACGAAATTTAGGTCAAATGCTTCGACATAGGAACGGCTTTGCCACGTACGGGCGTACGTCATAAACCGTGATGGGTGTGTTGTAGCACAAAATGTACAGCAGAAACGGTAGCTTATTCTTATCTCATCTGTTCACACGCTGTAAACGAATGTACACAGGGGCGGCGGAGCGTTTTTGTAAGTGGGGAAGGGTGTTCATCAACAAAAACGGCACTTTCCCTTCCTTCTCAGAAGTTTATATTTTTCCAGTTATTTAGCCCAGGTATATATGCAATGTTTATATGTCTATACCTTCTCTTTCTCTGTATAATGAATACTCAATGCTATTCATGCTGTAAATAGTGAATGCATCATTATTAGGTGCATCTCTCTCTCTCTCTCTCTACTCTACTCTTTCAACCTCTTCCTCTCTCCGTCTCCCTCTCTTGATCTGCCTCCCTCTTCTTCTCTTATCCTGTCTCCCCGTGTCTCTGCCTCTATGTTTCTCTACTCTCACACCCTCTCATTTTCTCGCCTTAATTTGGCTCCCGTTCTTCCTCTTTTACGTCTTAGGATGTTCCTTAATTTTCTCTAGCTCTTTCCTTTGTCGTTAGTATTCTTATTTCACCTCTACCATGTTTCCTCATACTATCCGCTCTCCTTCCAAATGCATTTTGATTCATATTGTTCGGGTAAAAATGAGGAATATCCTGTTTAAAAAAAAGTGGAATTATGTTACGTTCGGCCATGACGAACGAAAACGCGCGCGCATTCGCGTATGCGCGTTTTTTGTTTGTTGCGAAATACAGAGAGAGTACCACCTACCCTGACTGATGATAAGATGCTGATCCAGGAGAGATGCACATCTAGTGACAGGAGATGGAGGAGCATAAGCTTGCTGACCGGAAACATCCGTCGCCTCTTCCTCCCACTTCGAGGTCTCAAATATCTGTTTAGGAGGAGCGATGGGACGCTTCCTAGGAGACGACGGAGGAGTGAGCTTGAAGGAGGTAGAAGTTTCAGGATATTCTGCGGGAATTGAATTCATGTGTTTTTCTTTGTCATCGATATAATTTTGTGTCTCGTATGTACGTATTATTCAATTAATAAATGCAAGGTTCTGGAAATTTGGCCCAGTCTTGGTAAAGTTACAAGCACTATACACAGAAAGATGTATATGGGACTACGCGACACGCGCGCGATATCTATCGGGCCCAAATAGATATAATAATTTACCAAATATAACAATTAGTAGACGGTTTCTCGGCAAAATTTGTATCATCACGTATGAGTCAAAACATATTCTCTCACATGATTGGTAAGAGCTTCCATTTTATTTTTTTGAGAGGGGGGCGTTTCCAAAACTGGCTTTACCTGTAAGCACAATACAATCATGAAAGAAGGAATAGAACTGTTAATAAGCGACACAATTATATCAACTTTAAATGCGAGCGAGCTTTGGGTAAAATTAAAGAAAATTTTGCTCTCAGTCGTTCGCAGTACATTTTATGGTGAAAGGAAACGGGGGTATCTATCCGACAGGAAAAGGACACATATTAGAATAGAAAAGGAGCAAGTAAAAAGAGGACTTATGAGGCAAAAATGGGGCACTTCTCGCACCTGATAGAGGTAGGTCTACTCACCAGAAATGAAAAAGAAGCACTCAAGAGAACGGAAAAGGGGCACTTATAACAAATGGAAAAGGGGCAATTATCAGAAGGAAAATGGCACTTATCAGAAAAAATAAGGGAGCACGTGTTTAAAAAAAGGGGCACTTATCAGAGATGAAAATGGGCCCTTATTTCAAAATTAAAGAGAGCACCTCTCATATTTGAATAAGGGCACTCACCGCAGATGCAAAGAAACACTTATTTAATGAAAAGGAGGCATACAAAAGAAAAGAGGCACTTGTCCAAATATAAGGAGCACCTCTCAGATTTGAAAAGAGGCAATTATAAGAGGTGAAGGGACACTAACCAGATGTGTTAGGAGGCACTTCTTGTACCTGAAAAGAGGCACTCACCTGAGATTTATAGGGACACTTTAAAAAAAAAAGGAAAGGGGCACCTATCAGCTCTTTATAGAGGCATTTATCAGTAATGTGAGAAGGGGCATTTATGAGAAGGGGAAGAGGCTCTTATTAAGAAAAAAAAAAGGGGGGGGGGCATTTATCAGAAAGAAAAATGGGCACTTTAAGGGTAGTTGAAAAGTACCACCCCCGGGGTGCCGCCTTTGAATGTGCATTTGCATTGGTGGTCTATGATGGTGACTAGCGGAGTCGAACTTAATAATGTCCAAACGAAATGAAGACGGTTGGCTCGGCTAAACTTTAGAGGCTCATTCAAAATCAAAACACAAATTTGGAAAATTTGGAAAACTGGGAACAAGCAAATTCTTCGACAACAGCGAATGTGAAAATAGAGCCCTTATCGTTCGGTGCCACGCAGTGTGTAGAAAACGCATGAGGAAAGTCAAGCTGCTGTTGATTTCTTGAAAATAATGATGTGGATATATTTTCTTCAAATGCTTGTCAATTAAAAGGAAATTTATCAGACAAATCAATGGATTGTTATCATAATGAAGCTAATGCATTATCTTTTTGAAAACTTATATCAACAGCAGGTTGACTTTCCCCATGCCGTTTGTATACACTGCCTTACACTGAACGGTGAGGGCTCTGTACTAACTGTGCGTACGTAATTCGCTGTTTTCGAAGATATTGCTTGTTTTCGGTTTTTCGAAGTTGTGTCTGACTGTTAAAATGAATAACTATCTGATATGCGGTTGCCCAATTGCCCAATTTGGTCAATATTTCAAGTGTACAGTAGGTCGAAGTAACACATTTCATGAAAGATCGTAGCCCCATGGAGCCTGGGATTGTCAATTTCAATTAGGTACTTTCTGAAGCACATTGTATAGAATACCATGTTTTGTATGGTCTGTAGTACTCGTGGTCCCCAATCCCTCTTCTCTCGATCTCTCTCTTTTCATCTATCTGAAGCTGACAAATTTCATATTTTTAAGCGTATTCTTCATCTGCTTTAGCTGTCCTTGGATTTCGATGGCTTTCATTAGTTCAAATATTGTGTTCCATTCATCACTAATAATAACGGCCTAAATAAGCCTATGATGTTCTTTTAACAAAGGAGGTTGGAATATAACTGTGCAAGCTCAATGAAAAAACTTTCAATCTACCAACGACGTGGTGGTCATCACCTCCTAAATGTCCAATATCAACGATTGATTTAGATATTTTCCTAAATGAATAATGAAAATAATAATTTATAAATAAGAAATGTCAAAGAAATGTACAATACATTAACGGGAACGTACGAAATACCAACTGAACTTACCTGTATCAACTGACTGTGATCCGAGAGGTGTGCTGCCATCATAACCAGTCCTTTTTAGATCTGCTCCTTGGCAAGAGAGAAACTCTGCACAATCGACGTGACGATTTGATGATGCGGCGCGGAAACGTGTCCAGTCATCATTATCAGCCCTATTTAGATCTGCTCCTTTGCCAATGAGAAACTTTACTACGTCGAGGTGACCATTTGATAATGCCGCATGGAGAGGGGTGCTGCAACCGTTACCAGTCATATTTAAATCTGCTCCTTGGCCAATGAGAAATTCTACAACATCGAGGTGACCATTTGATGATGCCGCGTGGAGAGGTGTTCTGACATCATTATCAGCCCTATTAAGATCTGCTCCTTGGCCAATGAGAAACTCGACAACATCGAGGTGACCATTTGATGATGCCGCGTGGAGAGGTGTCCTGTCATTATTATCAGCCCTATTTAGATCTGCTCCTTGGCCAATAAGAAACTCTACAACATCGAGGTGACCATTTGATGATGCCGCGTGGAGAGGTGTCCTGCCATCATAACCAGTCTTATATAGATCTGCTCCTTGGCCAATGAAAAACTCGACAACATCGAGGTGACCATTGGATGATGCCACATGGAGAGGTGTGCTGCCACCATTACCAGTCATATTTAAATCTGCTCCTTGGCCAATGAGAAACTCGACAACATCGAGGTGACCATTTGATGATGCCGCGTGGAGAGATGTCCTGTCATCATTATCAGCCCTATTTAGATCTGCTCCTTGGCCTATGAGAAACTCGACAACATCGAGGTGACCATTTGATGATGCCGCGTGGAGAGGTGTCCTGCCATCATAATCAGTCCTATTTAGATCTGCTCCTTGGCCAACGAGTAACTCGACAACATCGAGGTGACCATTGGATGATGCCACATGGAAAGGTGTGCTGCCATTATTATCAGCCTTATTTAGATTTGCTCCTTGGCCAACGAGTAACTTTACAACATCGAGGTGACTATTGGATAATGCGGCGAGGAGAGGTGTCCTGTCACCATTATCAGCCTTATTTAGATCTGCTCCTTGGCCAATGAGGAACTCTACAACATCGAGGTGACCATTTAATGATGCCGCGTGGAGAGGTGTCTTGCCATCATGATCAGTTATATTTAGAGCTGCTCCTTGGCCAACGAGTAACTTTACAACATCGAGGTGACTATTGGATAATGCGGCGAGGAGAGGTGTCCTGCCATCATTATCAGCCTTATTTAGATCTGCTCCTTGGCCAATGAGAAACTGTACCACATCGAATTGACCACTGGATGATGCCGCGCGGAGAGGTGTACTGCCATCATACTCAGTCCTATTTAGATTTGCTCCTTGGCCAACGAGTAACTTTACAACATCGAGGTGACTATTGGATAATGCGGCGAGGAGAGGTGTCCTGTCACCATTATCAGCCTTATTTAGATCTGCTCCTTGGCCAATGAGGAACTCTACAACATCGAGGTGACCATTTAATGATGCCGCGTGGAGAGGTGTCTTGCCATCATAACCAGTCTTATTTAGATCTGCTCCTTGGCCAACGAGTAACTTTACAACATCGAGGTGACTATTGGATAATGCGGCGAGGAGAGGTGTCCTGCCATCATAACCAGTCTTATTTAGATCTGCTCCTTGGCCAACGAGTAACTTTACAACATCGAGGTGACTATTGGATAATGCGGCGAGGAGAGGTGTCCTGCCATCATTACCAGTCTTATTTAGATCTGCTCCTTGGCCAATGAGAAACTGTACCACATCGAATTGACCATTGGATGATGCCGCGCGGAGAGGTGTACTGCCATCATAATCAGTTATATTTAGATCTGCTCCTTGGCCAACGAGTAACTCTACAACATCGAGGTGACCATGGGATGCTGCTGCATGGAGAGATGTCAAATCGTACTTTTTAGCCTTAGAAAGGTCTTCTCCTTGAATCTTGTCCCCATCCATGATAAGAATTCAACTGATCTGAGTGTCTGTCTGTACTTTCTAGACTAAAGTATAGGCTATTTGATCAGCCAACTAAAACTGTATTACACCTGAAGATATGAAGTTATTGAGAATCTGTGTCATTAGGTCTATTTCATTGTCGCCCCTAACGACTCCAAGCTATGGAACGGAGATAGATAGATAGACTCTACCGTGTGGGTTATTATCTGCTCCGAGTATTACGTCTGGCAGTGGTTTATAAATAATGCACCTGCAAACTTCATTAAGACCGCGTAGTTATTATTGCACACAAAGGAGATCACTTCTTCTCACTATAGATTCTATTAATTGTTCGTGTCTGTTCCATTTTCGACTAAACCTGACCGTCTTGCAATCCCTCATGGATGTCACATATCCATCACCTCCTCAACGTAGTGAAATCCCGCATGTGTATACGCGACCTAGGCCAACAGATAATGTTATTCTGAATATTAAAAAAAAACATCTCAACGTAGTGAAATATCGCATGTGTAAAGGCAACATATGTCTACAGATAGGGCAATGTTGTTATTCCGAATATACAAAGCCCATCTCAACGTAGTCAAATCTCGAATGTATATCAACCTAGGCCTACAGACAGACATGGCAATGTTAATTGTTATTCCGAAATTAAATAACCCAGCGCGATCTCCATGGAAACTGTTATGCTATGTCGTTCGATACAGGCTACAATTAATACACGCAGCTCTATTCCCCGTTGCTGCATAATGACCCTAACGCACTCAACCGTAACCCGGCTGGGAAATATGTTAGCTGCTTCCGCACAAACATATATTGTACAAATGGAAATATGACATGAATTTCTTTTCTGAATAGTCGATATATATCATTTAGACCGCGTGATTTGTCTTGCCCGAGCTGTAAGAGATCACTTCTCCTCATTATATATTATATTAATCGCTCATATCAGCTGCATAGGTACGCTCCATTTCCGAATTAGCATGATGGTCTTCCATTCTCCCATTAATGTCACACATCCATCACCTCCTCAACGTAGTCGAATCTCGAATGTGTATAGGCGGCTAAGGCCTACGTATATGGCAATGTTGTTATTCCGAAATACAAGAACCCAGCGCGACCTCATAGGAAGCATGTATGATGTGACGTTTAGTACAGGCTACAATGCACGCAGCTCTATTCCCAGTTAATGCAGTGTGACGCACTCAACGCACTCAACCATCATTCGCGTGTGAATTATGCTAGATGCTTCTTCACAAACAGGGGCGTAAATCCCGGGGGGATGGGGGGGGGGGCTGCATCCCCCCTGGCTTGAAGTAGGGGGGTGGCCTGTACAATCACCCCCCCCCCCCCTGAAAAAAGAGAGAAAAAAAAGGAAGAAGAAGAAGAAGGAAAAAAATGTGATTGTTTCAATTTCAGCATAATGCATGAGAAATTAGTTATTTTTTATGTATGTATAACTGTATAGCCTACACGTATACAGTATGCCACTATCATTAAGAATAGTAGCGCGACGTGCGCGAACAAGCACTTCATAAACTTCACAATAATAAGAATCCTACTATATACACAAAATGCATTGGGCCGCGCCCCGGCCGGCCACGCAGTCTTTTGCATATTGCACGGCATCCATGCTCCGCTCTCTCGCGCTAGCAATGCAGAACAATTTTTCCCGTCCGCGCGATCTAGGGGAGGTAAGGGAACAATAGGACGGTTACCGCGACGACTGCACTGATCTTGCGCCGTGTGTGGTCGAACGGTCAGTATAAAGCCCCGTTGCCGGTTAGACCGTTTCAGGAACGGTCTAAAGTTCGCCGCTCAGTATAAAAGGGCTATAAGTATTCTGTCCGTGATGGTTATTTGTTTTGATAAATTTAATTGTAAATTTGGAAATTATGATATAATTATGTACAGGGCGTAAATCCCGGAGGGGATGGGGGTATGCATCCTCCCTGGCTCGAAGGAGGGGGGGGGGGAGGGAAGAACTAAATTCAGATGAGGATTAAAAGTCGAGAACGGTACAACGAATCGTCTTCTTTCTCTAATGATTTAATGAAACGTAATAGCTTTCGCGCTTCGCGCGGGAGGGAGGGGGGGGGGGAGGAAAAAACTGAATTCAGATGAGGACTAAAAGTCGAGAACGGTACAACGAATCGTCTTCTTTCTCTAATGATTAAATGAAACATAAAAGCTTCCGCGCTTCGCGCGGGAGAGGGGGAAGGGAAAAACCGAATTCAGATGAGGATCAAAAGTCGAGAACGGTACAACGAATCGTCTTCTTTCCCTATTGATTTAATGAAACGAAAAAGCTTCTGCGCTTCGCGCAGGAGGGGGGAAGGGAAAAACTGAATTCAGACGAGGATTAAGAGTCGAGAACGGAACAACAAATCGTCTTCTTTCTCTAATGATTTAATGAAACGTAAAAGCTTCCGCGCTTCGCGCGGGAGGGGGGGGGGGGACTGAATTCAGACGAGGATTAAGAGTCGAGCACGGTACAACGAATCGTCTTCTTTCTCCAATGATTTTATGAAACGTAAAAACTTCCGCGCTTCGCGAAGGAGGGGGGAAGGGAAAAACTGAATTCAGACGAGGATCAAAAGTCGAGAACGGTACAACGAATCGTCTTCTTTCCCTAATGATTTAATGAAACGTAAAAACTGAATTCTGACGAGGATTATTTTCGAGAACGGTACAACGAATCGTCTTCTTTCTCTAATATTGTTTGTTGTTTGTTCGTTTGTGTGTATACGTGTGTTTATGTGTGTGCGTGTGTGTGTGTGTGTGTGTGTGTGTGTATATTTCTAGTAAAAAAATACAGTTTGTGGATGTGGGTTCAAGAACAATCTATGATTATTTTATCAAAGCACTGCAACAAACGTATGATTTGCAGGTAAGGGATGGGCAAAATGATTATGATTTTATAGATAAAGAATTAAAAGAAATATTTGTTAGACCAAGAATTACTATACTCATTAGAAAACAACGTGAATTTCAATTTAAATTATTGCATGGAGCCATATACACTAATGAGCATCTTCATAGATTTGGTTTTGTTGGTGATAATTTATGTTCGTTTTGTAAGCAGGAAATAGAAACATACAAACATTTATTTTTATCTTGTGGGAGCGTTCAAAGGATATGGCAGGCTTTAATACAACTTTTTGAGTTAGATGAAATTAAAGATTTAGAATGGCGAGATATATTTGTTGGGTTGGTAGGTAGTTCATATAGAATAAAAATGTGTAATACCATCATTTTCATGGTGAAGTATGTAACATTTATGTCAAGATCGGGGGGGGGGGGCGAGTAATAACTTTAGAAAAGATGAAAAAAAGCATTTTTAAGTATAGGGATGAGGAAAAGAAAATAGCAATTAAAATGGGAAAGCTAGGATCACATTTCTTGAAGTGGGAGCAGCTTAAGATTAATTAAGATTTGCTTTCTTCTCTACCGTGAGCCTGTTAAAAGCGTAACTCGATTTTGCGGCCTGGATAACTTATTTAGTATATTTTTCTTGAGTTGAGAATGTTGGCAGACATCCACTGAGTGAGTACTCTGTGTGTGTGTGTGTGGGGGGGGGGGGGGGGGGGGTGGGTGGGTGGGTGAGTATGTGTGTGGGTGGGTGAGTATGTTTGTGTGATAGAGGGTGAGTATGTTTGTGTGATGGAGGGGGCAGGGAAGGGGCAGGATTGTTTCAGTAAAATTATCTCCAGATTTGTTTAAGTTTTTTTTTTTTGTAATATATAAGTAAATAACATTTACAATTGACATATTATGTTTAGGTACTTATACGTTTACTTTGTTGCTAAGTTATATTATACTGCAAATAAGTTTGTGTTTAATTATGTTTATGTCAAAGCATTAATATTGAATATGTTTATTTTATTCAATTGTATGTCATGGTTTGTATTATATATCTGGAGAAATAAAACAAAATTGTTAAAAAAAAAAAAAAAGTGTGTATGTTGTGTGTTTGTGCGTGCGCGATCGCGCGCTCTTGCGTAAATTAGTGTGGGCGTGTGCTCGTGCTCGGCTATCGCCGATCATCCCCCCACTCCTCGGTACGGATTTACAAATGTATATTGTAGAAATGTAAATACGAAAGTAATTTAGTTTCTGTTTACTTTTTTACTCGGCTCAATGAACAGTTGACAATAGGCCTAACCTCAAAATGGTGACCCAATAAAATCGTAATACAATATTCCAATAACATGACGGATGAGAATATTTAATCGTGAAAAAAATGATACCAACTTGTACAGATTTGGTAAAGATTTGTTTGTTGTTTTGTTGTCATAGCAGTTCAAGTTTGTCCAATATTACGGAAACAGCATTTAAAAACATGAGTATATTTTATGTCTGCGCTAAAATCATTACAAAACGCGGGTAAAAAATGTTGTTTAGAAAGTTAATTAATGTTCAATCTGATGTTTATTACAGCTTGACCAATGCTTGCATTAATATCATTCTTAAACTCAACAATGATACGTGATATTCGCATGGAGCACTGCCAGGGGATCTTTTCAATAATTTGCCGAAAAGGCATCGCTAAAATACGAAATTTGGCTTGTAGAGGTGTCGTGGTCTTTGGTAAATACCCGTCATCGGACTGTGGATCAAATGGCTCGCGGTTCAAGTCCCACCGCGCGACACTAATGTACTTTGGCGAGAAAGTATAATCTACAATTACCACTCTCAACCAAGGTAGTGAATGGGTATCCAGTACAAAAAACTTCATTGAATGTTTGAGCCCGTTATCATGGGGGCTCCTGAGGCTTCTTGTTATGCAGCCGGTGTAGTATAAAATGGACAAATATATTATTATTATATTACTACTATTATGTTCTTTTCAAAAGATTCCCCATCTACTGATACCGGTTAAATTTGCTCTGCATTATCGGAAGTATGCTACTCCGTTTTTGTATTGCCACCCTGTCGTTATAGGCGCAGCTAGTCGACTGGGACAGACAAGAGAAGTATCTCTCTCTCTCCATCTCTTTCTC